TTCAAGATTGTCTGTGATTCAAGGCTCCTTCGATGAAGTTCAACCTCATTTACCAACAAATCATCGATCGCAGCACGATTCGCTGATCGAGATACTAAATGTACGTGGTTAGTAACCCTAAAGATAAGAACATTTTATTTATTGTAACAAATACTGGGAAGATTATGTTCCTATCATTACAGTACTACTAATTAAATAGATTAGAGACAACGAGACAACTAACGAATCTAATGTTTGAGTGGTCAAACCCCCATAGGTACTTAATGGGTATTCAACAGAAACGCAATGGATAGTATCGATATTGTATTTACATTGGTCCAATCACAGAAGGCATACAAGTTTCTACTGATAGCCACGTCTGTGTGAGAAATGATCTTGAATTTAACAACAGTTGAAGAGTTCTCTACTGTAATAGAAAAACTGAGAACCGCGTATCAATCTTAAAAATCAATAGATATTATCAGATGGTCAATCAATGGGGTGTTTTATATTAATTTTCGCAAGGCTGTTGCTAAAATGACGTCATTTCACAGTGCATAGTCGCGGATTGATTCACTATAACGACAGATATCATTATACAGTGTCATGCCGCCATACATAAGTAACTTACTCTATGGACCTGTAGTTTGGATTCACAAGCGGTTGTTTAACACACAACCATAGTGACATTGCTACGTATATCAGGATTGCTACCAGAGTGGTAGGGTAATACTATGGTTTAAGTAGGAGGAAGCAATCTACTTTGATTGTAAAATCGGGATGGACGATTTGGCATTCAAATAAAGACCACGATGACGCTCTCAGGCCATCTAGGCCCTAGGGTGAGTTTTCTTTTTCTTATCATGTAATCACTTTAACAAATTGTATAGGCCCAATTATGGAGCGTTGGAATCGGAACACAGTAACACAGTTCATCTTCTCTCCGTCTCCAGCCCTGGACAGCTGACTGGTCATGAATGCTGCATGTTTCAAAATGAAACTTTTATTATATTGTACAACAATCTCGACACTGGTTTCACACGTTCTATTAGATTCGGATGCAGACAATGCAGAAAGCAACACGAGTTGACTTTCCTCCTCGGCTGTATAGATTGTCACTTTCACAGGTGACATAGAGAGGATATGGATACGAAGCAACGTTCTGTCCTTAGCGTAGATGCCTGGTGCCACGGGAACGTCGTAGAAATCTGAATAAAAGCACAGTTTCACAAAGATGTCAAAAGAACACATCCGATAAAATGTATCAATTTTTGCCGAAAGTATCTCACGGCTCGGCTTGGCCGTTTATAAGTATAAATGTTAATAGCCATTGTCGACTTTGACAAGCAAGACTACACCAGCTGTGTACTACCATGCTACACTCAATTTACAACATAATTGGCGAACTTAACCACAGAGACAAACAGCACCAGATTAAATGTTGTAGTTTTATTTTGTACAAATCAATATGTTAGTTGGGTAGGCCTATCAATGTGGCTAGCTTTAAAGTAATGATTAAACGTTCGGAGATACAACCCGTACTCATTCTTGGAATTATATATTCAATACAAAATACTATATCGCCCATATCCAAACATGAAAATAAAGTTATGGTGGAATCGGTTATAGTAATGCTGTAGGAGGTAAACTCTTAATTTCCTAGTTCTATCAAAATGCACATGTATGAATAAACTATAGATAGATATGTCATTATAGATCATTTCCAGGGTTTTTATTCGTCAGAATGCTACGAATGGAGACTTTATGATTCATTTAGTTGAAACCCCTACATACGTTTCACTACGTAAACAATAATTACATTTTCGATGATTTTTAAGCCAACACGGATAAGCGTTGAAACTAGTAGTTGGAAAACGATGAATGTAAAAAGGATACCAAGGAGATCAAACAATGCAAATTATAAATTTATTTTATTTTTAACTTGTTGATAATTATAGATCACGGGTTGTAAATGACACTTTCTCCTTTTAGATTAAGACGCTCGTAATGATATGTGAAATCAATTAATAACCTAGGTTTCTAATCAACCTTTACAGCTAGTCTATTAGAGGGTTAATTATCCCTTTACGTTCAAAGTGCATTAACTAAACTACCAAACACTTACACCGACAGGAAAATTATAATTAGATAAACCAATTTGAAAAAACTTCGACTATGGTATTACACAGTTTAAATGTTAAGGTTTTAAACATTTAATTGAACTTAAGGTAGGATACTTCGATCGAATATACTTATTCGATTTAATTCAATTAAAATCCATGTTTTAGCCCCTGAGCAGTGATTTAACTAAAAATAGATTTCAGCTTTCGTCAACAGCTCAATCAGTTGTAATTTACGCTACGGCCATTTCAGCACTAACATGACGTCATCAGACATCTTCAGCTTAACAGCGTCGTCACAGTAGAAACACACGGACACATTTTTTTTACAATTACAAAAATACGAATATAAAATTAACAGGCCTGTTGCACACGCGGTACCGGTTGAGATTATCTGAACTGGATGCCGACTCAATTGTGTTAATTTAATGTTCGTATTTTTGTAATTGTAAAATGTGTCCGTGTTACTGTACCTATGTGTTTATAATGACGACGCTGCTTCAGCTGAAGATGTCTGATGATGGCATGTTAATGCCGAAAATACCGTAACGCAAGCTATAACTGATCGAGCTGTGGACGAAAGGTAGAACCTATTTTTAGTTTTACAATTCCATATCTAAAAACCAATAAATATGTGTTGCTTGTACAAGCATAAAATACATGCATGTTTTGGCTCTTTGAGGACGACACGTCCTAGGTGTGATGAGTTAGTCGTATAGCAAGCTCATTGGCAGGAGCTGAAAAGGGAACGTAGACGCGGAAGCTGAAGTGACTTTCGTTTCATGAGGCAATAGCGCCTATGGACCAGACCTATCTGGGTCAACCCGCGCGCGGCACGGCACTAGACCACAAACCAGTCAGGTGCTGTTCATCAACACCTGATTTTAGTGTAATAATCAGCTGTCTTGTCACAAAAGTTCACGTGTTTGATGCATTCACTCACGGATCGTGCTGTGGGAACTCCGTACCAAACATGCACCAAATCAATCGTAAAAAATACTATCAACAGTAAATTCTTAACAGCACATATTTTTTCAATATGCGATAGGGGTGAACTTGTGAACACATAATTAACATTTACTTGAATATCCTTAATATTGTAGTGAATGAACAGTGTTTCATAGTAATCTACTTATCATAAGATTATGATCACCCATTCTTGGTTGATATTAAAATTAATTTAAAAAGATTTATAAATACCCCCACCACAGCAAACCTGCCGATTAAGCGAAATTCCATTTGTCTGAATTGATTTTTAATCAAATCTATTTAAATAACATTAGGTTTAACGAGTACCTAGGTTTGAATAAAATAAATAAATTTGCAGAGTTTGATCAAAATATATCCATAAACAAGCAAACTACAACACTTTAAAATATTCTCCATAAGAATAACATGAGAATTAGAAATTTAATTTTTTTTTATTTCTCCGTTACCAATAACTGTACAAAAACACTTTGATATAGGCTACTAAATTATTTGTTTTTATGCTCTTTAAAAATGTCTAGAAAAAATTGGGAAATTTTGTTTTTTGAGTGTCAAAAATGGGAAAACCTATTTTTACCCTATAACCCCCCCCCCCCATCAACCCCGTTCCCATGGTCCGATCATGGTGGTTCGCGAACTCATTCAAGTTTATCTCGCCTTACACATTAAAACAGAATTTCATCCAAATCGGACAACAATTACTCAAGTTATCGCGTTCACGGACGTATATATATATATACGTATATATAAATGCCTCTGGAGACATCGAAATGAAAAAGTAAATCGGTCCCGGGCCTAGGTCTTACCGTGCCACCTACGGTAATAGATACTTAGCTATAGGGAAGTTCGCTAAAACAAGCTAAGTTTATTAAGATCCTTATAAAATACCTATTTTTAAATGTAACAAACTTCTGAAACTTAAGGATAGTATAGAAGGCGTCCTAAAAACTATAAGTATCTCGATTACTGTATGTATGGCGATGGACTATGGAGTGGTGGTCTTCCACTAACTGGAAATTGGAAATCATTTGAAAGATAACTAATCAACTGTATAAATCAAAGTATACCGTACTACCGCAGTATACTTGGCTTGGATGTCGATGGGTTTTCAATCAATCTACACTGCGTTTGATTGGTGTTCAATTATGGTAAAATCATGTTTCGTCAAGTTGATGTAGTCGACGTCAAATAACAGTATTGTTTAATTTTTAGGTGAAGGTAAAATTTCATTATCAAACGACTGTAATGACAAGACATCAATAATTTGTTTTCGCCCCATAGAGGTATTGATCAAATTTGCCGTAAATTTTAATATTTAAAAATCTTACTTTGTAAAGCCCAAATTCTAGTGTGAAGTGAAATCTGTGGCCAAATATTTTTATTGACAATTATAGTTTAAAAAATTCCTGTAAAATTATTGTATTCTGCTATGTAGACCTATTTTAAACATCAGTTCTCAGGTTTTAATTTTGATGGTGGAGAAGATTGTGGTAGGCTAATGAGGCTTTTAGATTCTTTCATTAGTCTCAGATAATATTTATATTAGATTGAAACATGTTTAACGCATTGTGTATTTATGCAGCAAATAATATGGGTGTTTTCATAATACATTTATTTATACTGTATTGTGTATATTCTAAAATAAAATTTAAGTAAGAGTACGTAATTATAACGACCAATACGAATTTCCATTGCAAACAACAAACAGAAAATATTAGATAATCATCGAAGTCTATCAGTAAAAAATAATGACTACTGTAAGGATTTTATAAAATATTAATTTAACAGCTAGATAAAGAAATTCAGGAAATATACTGGAATAAGATATGGATTAAAAAACTTTTAATGGCTAGTAATTTTTCATCAAGTTTTTAACCTTCTGTAATTAAATATAACCCTATAATAAATTCTCACCTGGAATTGGCGTGAGATATATAACGGTTACAACCGCAGATAATAAACCGACAAAAACACTACATCTAAAAATCCAAACAAACACGCTCTTATCATACATCGTTCACTCCCCGAGATATCGACTCAAGTGTCGTCTGCATCTGAAACTGACGTATGTTTTTTTTACATCAGCTGTACCACACTGGACTGGGAGAGAGAGTAACGTACAGGCTGGACAACGTTTGCGCAAAAATATATTTATAAAACAGTCATGGAACCTTGACAAATCCATTCAAACAAATAATGGATAATTAGTAATCCAAGTTCGGTAAGAACATTTCTTCAGCTTTTACAATACATATTAATAATAGTTAAATACTTTTATTTCTTTTTAACTGATCGGTAAACACTTAACAGAGCTGCCAGTGGAAACAGGAGCGTTTGGATATAGTAGTGCCACGCATGCGCACTAGTAGACCATACCAAGTAAACGCTCCGGCTACTTTTAATGTAACGGTTGTGAAACGTCAAACTAGTTATAGCGGGTAGCTATTTCTGTTACTTTGGAACGAAACCGTATGGCGTTGATGGGTAATGGGTATCACTGTATATTGCTTGTAGCCTGCAATTAATAGTCATATACTTATTATTAATTTATTTATTTTGAAAGACTTCGTCTCAAATTCACTAACGGCAACTAAAGCGGTATATGGATCATACACGTAAACAAAATGACGTACCGGTAACTGGTTCGAATTCTATTATAATAATAACATTAACATAATTTCATGGTTTGGACAGTTCTATTTCAGTTATGTTAAGTAATGTTTACTTTCGGACCAGTAACACAACACCATTTGTTTATTTTAATGACCCACCACTTTACTGTTCTAATATTCGTGGGGAATCTACAAGTTAGTTGTGGTTGTAGGTTGTAGCTAGAGAGTAGTAGCCTATACTTAATCACTATAAGTATAGTGAGGGCCTAACGTGACTCTTTTTGACCCAAGGTCGAGTTTTACGATCGTGGCGAAGCCGAGGTTGGAAAATGAGCGATGGTAAAAAACACTTTTTTCCTGTGTGGTGAACTATATTTTTCGTCATATTGCATAATTTTAACAAAGGCTAGAAAACGAAATAATTTTTATTTGAAGATTAGGCTACCTCTCAAAACGACTTCCAGCTTGTTTTCAATTCTACTAAAAATGCAAATAAGTTGCTGTTTAGTAAGTGATTCAATCATTAGTCTATTACGATTATGTTACATTACCATCGATGTGTCGAGCGATCGACAACAATAAGCTAACACTTTACATAATAAATCAACCGATAAATAGTTTCGATCGATACGATTGCCATAATCGAAATTTACAACCGTTTACAAAAGCCGATTTACTCCCTAGAGACTAAAAATATGCTACTTTAGACCCGCAACGCATGCATTAAAAACGGCTGTTTTTGCTGCAGAAAAATTGATTTGGTTTATACAGGGTTAACAATTAAATCTTAGGACGAATTTATAATTTTAAAAAGAGAAGAGATATCATAACCAAATTTAGTATATCATCATTACTGGTAATAGAAAGCTACTTTCTGTGTACATGGTGATCGGATGACACCTATAGGGAGCGGCCCCTTTAGGAAGTAAGTTTAAAATCTTAAAGTTAAAGGTAAGCATAGGTTGATATGTAGATCAAATTGAAGGCCTTATTGAACTAAAAACAATGCCGCAAACCAGACCTCAAATGGGCAATCGAGTCAAAAAGATGTTTGAAGATCCGTTAAATTTGCAATGCTATTTATACGCTATCTCCTCAGGGGGGCCCGCTAGAAGACGGAAGAAAATCATAAACGTGAGCATAGGTCATATGCACATCAAATTAAAGGTCTTTATCAGTAGAATACAATGCCACACATTTGAGCTAAAAGAACAACTGAGTAAAAAATGGCAGCCATTTAAAGATTAAAAATGGCAGATTCAAGAAATCTTTAAACATCTGTCATTTTTGACCCGATTGTCCATCTGATGGTCCGGTTTGTGGCATTGTTTATAGTTCAACAAGACCTTTAATTTGATGTGCATATCAACCTATGCTTACCTTGAGGATTTTAAACTTACTCCCCAAGGGCCGTCCCCCATAGTTGACATCCGATCACCATACACAAAAAAAGTGGTTTAATTACTATTACCAGTAGTCATATGCCGAATTTGGTTGTGATATGTGTTCTAGTTGTAAAGTTATTAAGTCGTCCTAAGACTTATAATTGTCATCCTGTATAAAAAAAACATGAGGTAACTCAGCTGAATTTTATTACCCTGGAATTTTTTCCTAAGCAAAAACTGACAACACAAACTAGGGGTAATCCGGCCTCGGAGTTGCAAAACTTGAGTTAAATAAATTAAAGGTGAAATTAAACGCACCTTTCACGGTTGTGAATTTAATGAGAACAAATTAAATTATAAAACCTAGAGTGTAAATTAGTGGTGTCAGCTCTGCTCGGGGGTTAAGTGGTAACACTCCCGTGACACAAAAATAGAAGTTTGGAACAAGATAACAAAATACCAGGCACTCGTTTCGTTATGTAACTGGTACAACACGTGACATTTCACAACCGTTACATTAAAAGTAACCGAAACTTTTACTCAGCATTTCTTCAAACAGACGTTCCTGCTAGTGTGAAATGCGAATGCGCGGCACTTACAGACGCTCCTGTTGGAAATACTGCTTGACCAATCAGTACAATCGTTCCGTCCGTGGTATGGTTGGTATTGCTATTTCATAAAATGTCAAATGTCAAGCTGTCAAGCAAGGAAAAACAAGAGCAAGACTGAAGGAAGAGTTAGGTTAGGTTACGTTGTTATTGATAGTTTTAGGCTCCTCAAAGACATTTTATTCCTATATGTTTGGTATCCAAGAGATCGCGTGAAAGGATCATGGCATCAAGGTTTAGTGGAGTACTTCAACTCACAGATCTAGATGATTTCATTACACCATCACAGGTGGGCTATCCAGCAACTCTAGGCTGACAAGTAAACAACTCAGGACAAAACCTAGGATTTAAGTTGTAGCTATTTTATTCCAACTGATTGGATTTATTACTAAGTTATTACAATGATATCAACTTACAAATAACAAATTTTAATTGGCCTTGGTTATGTTTTATGCGGTTGGTAAATATATTTAGAATGTTGAAGGCCCTATGTCATCAATTGTTGTGTTTGTGTGTTGTTGTAACTGTCAGTCAATGTTGTTCTCGCAACTACGCCTATCCCTAGCCTTGTGAAGTCACCTACAAGCTTAGGAAATTTAAGTCTATTCCCCTAGGACAAACTATCAGATTCAGCATGATGCAAATCAAAATGTTAAGTTAGTGATAGGATTAACTTATTATCTTGATCTTAAACCAGACAGGAAAGATAGTGGTACTTCCCTTTTAACACGTTCGCTGCTGACCGTTAGATGCCGGGACGGCACCAGGAGCTGAACTAACGCTCGCCGCTACGTAAATATTGCTGCCGATACACTGAATTACAGTAAAAACAACAGTAGTTGTACTGGATGGCAATGTTCTGCAATAAAACTGGCTTTGGACATAGTACTCTAGCCCTCCAAGTGTCCATAGTTTAGGCCTTAATGTCCACCTATTTTTGGCGCATTTGCAAGGTTTTATTAAAACGGATCTGAGAAGCTTAAAACAATGTTAATTCTAATGTTCTATATACCATTTTGTTTGGAAAATCATGGGCTTCAATATTATATATAAAACATAAGGAACATTTAAAAAAAAAAAAAAATTTTTAGGTAAAAAAAATATAATTTCGAAAATTTTCAAAAAAAAAATAAGTTTGCGCCTAATGAAATTGTATAAATTATAGGCCTATAAATATTTGAAAATAGCCACTTTGTTCTAAATTTTATGAGGATTACAAATATATAATAATACTAGCTGACCCGGCGAACTTCGTATCGCCTAAGTTATAGGTTTCCCCTAAGACAAACCGATGGAAAGAAAGTACCGTTACGTTTAATTTTCAAGATGATCTCGTTCGCATCGCTCAATCACGTCCTGGTTGAAGTTCGTTCGCTACGCTCACTCACCTTTGGGTTGGAGCTCGTTCGCTACGCTCACTCACCTTTAGGTTGGAGCTCGTTCGCTGCGCTCACTTGCCTTCAGGTTAGCTCGTTCGCTACGCTCACTCGCCTCCAGGTTGAAGTTCGTTTGCTACGCTCACTCACCTTTTGGTTGCAAATTAGCTGTTGTCATAAATGTAAAAGAAATAATAGTGCTGCACCCTTTTGGTAATCCTTGTAACTTTAATGCTATTGAACATCATAGAACAGAACCAACTTGTTTAATTGAAACAGCTGTTAAGATTCATTAATTCCATTTCTCATAAGGTTAACATGGGAAACTCCAGAGGCACTGGGGCGGAGCCCTTTTAAGAATTTCGAAACGGGAAATAGTTTACGTCCGATTCGCATACCTACAGAATTTACACACCAAATTTCATAACGATCGGTGAAGTCGTTCCGGAGGAGTTTGCAGACAAACACTGTGACACGAGAATTTTATATATTAGATAAGGAAGTATATTTGCAAATAAATAAGTTATGGGCAAAAAACTGATTTCAGTACATAGCGTTTAGCTAAGAATGCATAGCCTAACCATAGCTAGGAATCTGGCTGATAATTTACATCAATATCACTACCTACTTCTTCAGGATCATCAACCAGCACTTCAAAACCACTTAAATCTTCTTATAATGCACCACGTATATCACTACTTTTGATTTTTAACACTAAAACAATGATAAACGTAATAAAACACATCAGTCATCGGTCCGGGGGAACCTAGCTGTTTACAAATACACGCACGTCAGCTGTCTGCTACAATATTTTCAGAACTAAAATGAATAGCGCTTAGAGACAGACATCTGGAGACAGCTTAGAATGTAACGGAAAGAACGATACCTAACTCGATCCAGTTCAATCCGATTCAGTCAGTTATAGAGCCTTCGCCGTAAACGATGTCTGCTTGTCGAAAAATCGGCAAGTAACACTATACAAAGTGTGGTGCTTGCCGAATTTTCGTCAAGTAACACTGGGAGGGCTAGAGAAGTGATTCTGATAGATAGCAGCACTGCCCAGGTTGTAGTTGGTAAATTAGTGTCGCTATCTAGCAGGAAAGAGGTGGGACAAAGCCCTGTTCTAAACGACCCTGGTGGTGATTTTGGGAAACTATATTTTTTATTGTTAGAAAAGTACGTCCCCACGAGCTGCAAAGAAATATAGGACGCTCGTGACGAGCTGGCTGATCCATGGTAACGTTAAACATCTGGCGCCGTAGCCGGTTTGACGTTCCGGAACGTCCGTAGCAGCGAACTTGTTAAGGGGAACATTCATTATTATCGATGATTTTTTTCGATATTTGATATTTTAATATAATTTAATCAAAATATCGATAATCGAGATATCGAAAAAAAAATCGTCGATAATAATGAGTTCCCTTTTAACAGGAAAGTACCAAGTTAGTTTTGAGATGATAATAGGGTTACCATTATTGTAATTTGTAAAAAAAAGATTTCAGCTAGCGGTCCCCACTACTTTGTATGGTCGCCATTTTTTTGAAAAGTATTAAAGTACTATAACTTAACAAGAATACGGGCTAACAAATTTGTATAGCACAGATGTCATAACAGACACGGTATGGGGACATAAGAAAATTATGTCACTGGCCCGAAAGTAAACACGTGTTTTTATTAAAAGCCTATTTAAATGGAACTGTCTAAAAACCGCCAAACAAGTTGTTACGGCTATTAGTAACCTTATAGACATTCGGGCCAGTAATTAAGCCCCACATTTACTAACTTATTATACATTAACTAACTTACTACCCTACCTAGCTGATTAACTTACAAAATGGAACTGTTCTAAACTAACCTAACCGTACACAAACATGCCGTATGTGAGTAACTTAAATGTGGGGCGTAAACTAAAGTGCAGACTAGATGTGAAAGCAAAAAATGTCTACAGCATCTTGCTTGTCACATCTCACTAAACGTAACAAATAACAGAATAACGTTAACAAAACGCTCTGTCTGCTAGACTCGGTTCGGCTTTGTAGGGAACACCATGGATACCTTCAGTCTGGCCGGCAGATGTGAATTGAAGGACTGGGAGCAATAAAACAGACGATAAACTAAGGACGTTGCTGGCCATGAAGTGAAACTGAGTGAGGAATAAAAAAAACGTTGTCAGTAGGTAGAGAGTGCGAGAGTTGCATTTTTCAGTCACTGCATATTTTAATGACACAAACATTTATTTTATTCCAAAAGTGCTGTTTTATGTATATATATATATATATATATATATAGGTAGGGCCTAATGTCTTTTAATAGAGAGTAAAAACAAGGAGATTACTCACTTTTTGCAGAAATCCCCCGGAGCTAAATTTTTAACATCAAGATCCGGTATTCTCCGGGGATATGGGAAAGAGTTGATGAGGAAAAAAATTACTCAACTTAATACCATGGGAGTAAGGAGAGTGTCATTCTACTAAATGCCTCTCTTTGGGCTAACTTAAGTGTAGCAATGACAGAACTGGCAAGCAGGGTGGCGGTGTTGCAGTTTATATCAGGGAGGGAATCAAATTTAAACTGGTAAATTGCTCAAACTCTGAGTACTCGGCAAAACCGGAATTTTTAATTATTGAAGTTAGCCTATCTGGGGCTGAGAATTTGCTGTTATGTGTATGTTATCGTCCACCTAGAGCAGGCAATCTATTGGATTTTGAAAACGCTCTCTTAAATTGTTTGTTTGGATACAGTCATGTCTTGATCATGGGGGACTTCAATATTAACCTTCTTTCAACCAATGAAAACTATGAATACAGACAACTGACTACATTGTTCGACTCATGTAACTTTAACATACTCCCACTTGACCCTACACATCATGTAGCCGAGTCTGACACTCTTCTTGACTTAATCGTAGTATCAGATGTTGTAGACATTGTACATCATGGGCAGCTTCCAGTTCCAGCAGTATCCAAGCATGATCTCATATTTTGTGTGTATTCAGTTAAGGCACCTAAACCCAAGACTAAATTTATAAAATATAGGGATTTTAAGAATATGAATCAAGTTGAGTTTATGTCAGATATTCAGAAAACACCATGGCACTTAATAGAAAATTCTCAATCTCTTGATGAAATGTTAAATGAACTAAACAGCAAAATTATAAATCTGTTTGACAAACATGTTCCAATTGTTTCAAAACGTTTGACCAAAAAACAACCAGTGCCTTGGATTACCCCTGAAATACGTAGCTTGATGGCTAGGCGCGACTGTCTTTTCAGGAGAGCAAAACGTTCCCGGAATCAAGAAGAAATGGAACAGTATCGTTATTTTCGAAATAGAGTTAAACAACTTTTGCGGAATTCAAAATTACGACATATTCGTATGCTTTTTGAAAACAATAACCAACCATCTAGAGTTTTATGGCGTAACGTAAAAAGTCTTGGGCTTGGGAAACAACCTGAAGCACAGAGAGTCAATATTCCTCTGAATGAATTAAACGCTTTCTTCTCTTCCTTTGGTCAAAGCATCAATCAACAACAAGTTGAAAGTTATATAACGGAGTTAAGAAACTCCCCTGTACAAGAATTAGGATACCCCAAGTTCACTTTCAAACCTGTACTGCAGTCTGATGTTCTGAAATCTATTCGACGTATTCGCAGTAATGCTATTGGATCTGATGGCATTCCAATTCGCTTCATTAAGGACATTCTCTTTGCTATACTCCCCACTATCACCTGCATTTTCAACACATCTCTAAGGCAAAACATATTCCCGATTTCTTGGAAGTCTGCCCTAATTCGTCCCTTAAATAAGATTCCAGCACCTGCTTCTTGCCAGGATTTCAGGCCGATCAGTATATTGCCCGCATTATCTAAAGGCCTTGAAAGAATCGTGCACTGCCAAATCACTGAGTTTCTGA